GAAAAAACCCATGTACCATGAACCTGAAATATGGTCATTTAACTAAACATAAATCAATTCAAAATGTGTACATAGTTTTAAATTTGAAAGACAAATGAAATGGAAGAAAATGCATTCCATTTAATTTCTGGTTACAAACAGCAGAAGCTGTTAAGCATTCATTTTCGTTGTTTTGAATGTAGCCTGCTGCCTATGTGTTAGCCAGCTGGCATATGGATTATATGGTAATTTAATTTGGTCTAACTTTAGCAGTTATCGGTATTTATGCAGTCACAACAGCAAAAATAAAACTCCCCCCCCCCCCAGATAGGCAGCTCAGCCAAAGAGGGAAAATGGGCTGTTGCTCGGGCAACTTTAGCCCGGCCTTGTGCACGTCCTTGTTCCCCAATGTGGATAACATAACAATAACAATAAAAAACAACTTAGCCCATGGTTCGCTGAATAGTTTTATAGTTTATAACAGTATCTCATGGCCTTAAGTGGATCATGTTTGCTTAGTTGTCATTATGTGACCTATACTTGGGTTGAAAATGCTGGTAATGGTAATTTATGGTAATAAATGGTAAAACAAATTCTATTCTTTTTTTTTTCTTTTGAAATCTCCAAGGTCAGTAATGAACCCTCAAGGTGGTTTATATTAACGCTCATAATAGGCCTTTTTCACAGCAGACATTTGGACTTTTCATAGCAGTAGGGGAAGGGTGTTTGTACTAGCATTAATGACGTCTCAGTCCCAGTAGGTCAAGACAAGTGTGATAGCGAGCCAGCAGCTAAATAGATTTCAGCCATCATCTTTTCCTGCTGGGCCCAAATGTTATCAGTGATGTGTAGGTTAAAATGTCGCCAATATCCACTCTCAGAAGTCTCAAAATGATATTATCAACGATGCTTAGTATGACGTATTAGATGTCTATATAGAGTACTTAATTTCCTGTGTGACCTTGGGGAATGGAAGTTATTTTTTTCTCACATTTCCTCAAAAGTAGCAATGAAACCAAATGACAGCCAAAGTGAAAGGTGCAGTGTAATATTTCTATTGGCTTTCAGGTAGTGGATATAAGTATATGTCTCGATACAAGACACCCATGAGTAGGGCACCACACACTGTAGTGGACTGGACACGGCAGATAACCGTTAAATGCACATTTATCATGGCAGAAAGTGGAAATGCAACAGACCTTGTTCCGCGTCAGAAGGGCCTGAGCCTGAATTGTTCTGATACTGTTTCTAAACAAGGCACCAAAGTAAAACCAAGGAGCTGCAGCCAAATTTAGCAACACAGCAACCAACCAAACAAACACCTCTGTGAACACCACAACACAAGATTTTTATTCCATTTGATAACACCACAGACCAAGATAGCCTAAATTTCCATAATGATATGTGCCTAACTTGACATTTGAATAATAAGGCAGATAGTGCGCCTGTCTGTACAACAGCCAGAAAAAACATGCATTTATTGTTTTCTCTGGCATCAACAGGATTTGCATAGTGTGCTAAAATAAGTTTCTATTTCCCGCCCCAAACCCCATCAGAGCGCACGCAGACCTCCACCCACCCTTTCCCTGCACTGCTGTTGACAAATGGCCTTCCTCCTCCTCCATTCGTACAGAGGAAGTGCAAACAGCCATCATAAAGCTGGACTATTTCTGCTTGCAACTTAAGTCTGAAGTGTCTGACTGTCTCTGACATTACTTCCCATGTTTCACAATACACATGCTCATTACACAAACACATACACACATAGCAGAGTGCGTGGCCAGCCCAGTGTTATCACATGACCCCAACAACCACAAAACAGTGACGGCTGTATGCTGTTCATGTAGGCAATTACATGTATTTGCTGTAGGAGTAAATCCCATCTCTGTCTGAAGTACATCTGCAGTTTGTCACACATTATTATTGTCAGGATACATTGTTGTTACAACTGTAAAGTGCATCCACAAGCCACAACGCTAAAGTAAGGCGTTATGATAGAAATGAGGAAGGTGACATAAGGGAGATTGAATGACAACTCAGTTTAACAAAAGCATATAAACCCACAGTATGTTTCTAAATCATCATTCCACATTGTAACACACACTGGCATACACACACACACACACACACACACACACACACACACACACACCCGCATACACACACAAACACAAGGCTCAGCAGCACAACCTGGCATCCCCACTGCTGCTAGAGGACATAAACAAGCGTCCGGTGTGTACTCCTACTCACAAATCTCTTTAGTTTCTTCTCCGGGGGGGATTTAATGAGCCAGCCGGTGCAGACCACATCCCCAGCACTCATCTTGACTGCAGAGCGCGTCGTCCTCACGGCTGCTGCTGCTGCTGCTGCTGCTGCTGTGAAACTGAGAGCACTGCGAAGCATATCCTGTGTGCTGGTATTCAGCCTAGCCACTCCAAAAGGAGGAAGTCAAGAAATTGATCACACTGACAGAGAGAGAGAGAGAGAGAGAGAGAGAGAGAGAGAGAGAGAGAGAGAGAGAGAGAGAGAGAGAGAGAGAGAGAGAGAGAGAGAGAGAGAGAGAGAGAAAAGGAGAAAAATACTACACATAAAGAGGTTTGACAGGTTTGAGGTTTGAGTCGTTTTGACTGGTAACATACACCGGGCTGAGTCACTTGCTGTTAAAATCTTATCTTAAGGTTTTATACAATAAACAGATTCCATTTCTTCCTATGTTGCAATGTTGTTTGTTTGTCCTGTGTGGTTTCTGAACTCTTCAGAAACCAAAAGTGGTTTTAACAGTGGATATCTGATGAAAACACTGACCTGCCTTACTTTGATGCTTAATGATAAACTAATAAGGGATTATTTCTATATGAGTTTTCAGGAAGGTTGTGGTGCAGACAGGATAGTAGTAGTGGAACTATTAGTTTGCTTTTATTCCAGCTGTTGTCAAAAGAAAGAAAACAGTTTTCCAAGGTAAAATGTCTTGGTCTAATCTTTAAATTTGAGAAGCATGTTAAACTGGTAAGAAAGGAAATGTACATACATTTAAACTCGTTGGAGACTGTTTACCATGTTACGCTGCAAACAGTTTTATGCATTCCGTGATTTTATCACATTTAGGCTATTATGTAACTTCTTAGTCACAAGCAGCTTCTACAAAAATCAAGCCTCTTAAGAAGACATATAACCATGTGATTCAAATTTTGCATAGAAAGCGATACAATACCAGCACCAGCATATTTATGATCATTCAGTTCAATTTGCTAGTCGTAAACTGATCCGTAAACGCCTAAATAACCAAGCTCCGGAGGTGCTCAGTGATGAGGTTGTACCTCTCAGGATTTCTGGCTCAGTTACTCAGGGTGCAGTTTTGTGCAGCGAGGAGCTGTAAGGTGCCCTTTCATAAACCCAGATCAGTATGTGGAATTTATTATGGATCATGAATGTGATAACAGTAAACTCCAGTTGTACAGCTTTTATGGATCAGACATGTATTATGGAGTTTTATGGTGATTTCATTGTATGATTGTTTATGTTTTTTATGTATTTCATTTTTGTGTGCGGGGCATTGCAGACTGGTTTAGGCTGTGCATTTTGTGGTATATGGCATATATTTTTTATGTAAAAAATATATAAATGAGGGGAGTAGTACTGGTTGTAATAGTATAAGTGCTAATAATTTTAGTGCTAGTGCAATAGTAATCATCATAGTAGTACTATTGTTGGTCGTCATTATCAGTCAATTGATCAAATACATTATAAACACATCAGACACACACACACACACACACATACACACACACACACACACACACACACACACACACACACACACTAATGAAATGCTGTTTTTTGTGCATTTTACTGAGCAAGGCAAAGCGACACAATGGCTTGTTTACCATGAAATTATCTTTCATCCTGTGACAGAAGTTCAGTTTATAACTTCTCCTGCCAGTAAAAACACTGACATGGAACCAGTCATCTACATCTCATCATCTCCATTTTACATTTCCCCTCTGAGGGGAAGTACATGAATCCTCATTGTTGATTATTTCCTATCGTGAATAATCAACTGAAACTATTAACAGTTTGTGACAGATAAACACAGACCACTCTTAAAACCACAGCAGAAGACATAATGAACTTTCATAATTAGACTTCTGGAGTTAATTGCAGTCAAGCAATAAATATCACAAACAGACTCAATCTTATCTCTTTTTTAAATATCTTGAGCAACCACCAGAGGGCGACATAATGCTCTAGTTGGTGATGTTATTAGTCTGTTACTGGGCAAATTTCTTATTCAGAAATCATGACTCAGTAAAAACCAAATGATGAAATTGTGTACATAACGTACACCCACATACATTAGTCTACATTTATATAACATATTAATAATGTCTTCATTATATTAAATTCAAATCCATGGACACTATAAATAATCTGATTCCTCCCCTTGTTTTGTATGACACATATTTATTAATCCCTCTAATTGTTAATATTTTTGTGTTTATGATTATTATTTGTCTTTATATGTATACTTTGTTTATAGCCCATTCTTGTCTTATACCTGCTTCATCTTCTGTCTCCATTTTTCTGTGCTAAAACTACCGGGAAAACTTTTCTAAACGGAGTTCCTGTATGTAGAACAAACTGTGGAGGGCAGCAGTCCACTGCGGCTGCATCTAATCTGTACAAACGTCAGGAACAAGAACCGGATTTACAGCAGTAACCAAAGAGTCTTGAAGGAAAGAGCTCGAAACAGCTGCGACTTGGTGTAAAACAGCAAAACACATAGCTTAAAGTATGTAGCTTTTTATATAATTACAAAACACTCTATCCGTAATTGCACAAAAATAAAAACAACAACAATGTCCAGTCATTTGAGACGCTGCGGACCTCATATTCAGCACTGCCACTGATATAATGAGCGACGCCATCTTTCTTCCAAAGGCGTCATCCGTGAGTTAGTTTTCTAGCGGCGACCAATCTCGCGTGTTTCAAAGAGTCTTTACAATTACCCATGATTCCCCTGAAACGTATGACCTGTCTCTGGCCTTGGCGTGTAGCGCGGTGCTGCTAGTTGTCAGTGTGTGCTGGCTGTAACGTTAGGGCTCCATTAGCGTTAACTAGATAGTGTTTCTGACCGACAAGTAGGCTAGTAAAGTGGGGGACCGTCACAGCGGAGCTGAGCCACAATGCTGAAATGTAGAACTGTATGGAAAAAGCTTGCACCTCTTGCTAGAGCTTCATCTAATGTGTGCCGGCAGAATGTGCGAAGAACAGGTCAGTAAATAGTTACAGTCACTTGCAGTCTCCTTGTTAGCCGGCCTCCATTCAAACATACATTTCTTTAAGGTTCATATACACAGCAGCCGACAGTGTGTTAAACCAGAGCGGGGGACCTCTGGTAGCTTATTTAAGTATTCTGACCTTCGTTTGGTTGTTCCATAGCTAACATTAACTGAGCTAATTAGCAAATGGTAACATGCAGAAGTCGATAACACATCGATAACTAGCTAACTTTAACCATATTGCACTCCACTGGTTGCAGTAGCTCTTGCCTGAAGCTAACTAGAAAGTGAAAAAATGGACTCTAGTTACAGTCACATGTGTTTTTGGCATGCTTGTACCGGGTTGCAGTGTGGTTATAACAGGTGTTACAAGTCAGATTTTGCCATGTTTATAGGCCGAGGTTGTTTATTTTTTGGGGGTGGTTTTCAAACCCCTTGTGACCCTGAGAGGATAAGCACAATGTGTACAGTCCCTCTGCACAGTATGCCCATCGGCTGCTTGAATGTACAATGATGAGGAAAGTAGATCATGAGAGAGGTTGATCATAATGAGGATTCAAGCCTCTAAACCAAACTCAGATTGTGTGTGTGCTTTTTTTAAATTAACCTAATAAACAAGCATAAGGATTCCTGTGCACCAAAGTTTGCCCTTCATTTTGGGGAAGTCAAAGCTCAGGCTGACACGTAGAGATGTAATAGTACCTTGTATATCTGTATAATGTGCTTGCATTGCATCTTGCAATGAGACATGTTTTTATTGTCAGCAAATAGAGACACATTAATGTAGCAGTCACAGTCATAGTTTATGGCTTGACATGTATAAATAATGGTGGGACATGTCATGATTGCTATGTTTCGCCTCATTGTTGCTGGTATCCAGCCAAATAGCAAAGTGAGATGTAATTTTACAATGTATACGTCATTTAATTCAGTGGAACTGTCAGTCAGACAGCTGTAACCTGATAAGCCTGATCAACATAAACATAAACAAAGATTTCCAGCCACGATGCTTCAGTTTTAGTGTTTCACCAGTCTCCATCATACATTAATAAAAAATGACACATTTTGATCAATCTAAGATGTGTCAAATTATTTTCAGGGTTAACCAATGGCAGAATACCAGCACATGTACCAGCCGCTCACATGTCCACCGGGCCGGCAGGGGGAGGACGGGAAAACCAGCTGTACATCCTTCTGGTTGGAGCAACCTTCCTCGGTGGTGGAGTATATGTGAGTGACTCATATCTGACCATGAGGATTTAGTCTGTCATAACATACAGTACATGCGCTGAAAATCATAAGTGATCAGTTGGAAATGAGCCGTGTTTGTGGTCTTTAGTACATCACATTTGTTTGCATGGTCGCACCTAGACGGTCCTACCTTGCCTGTTTGCAAATATTCATGCATCGGCAGAATCAGGGCTGTTTCACTGATTGCACGTGATCAATGAGTTTTTTTTGTTTTCGCAGGCGTACCGAACTGTCAAGGGAGACCAACAAAGATATCAGGAACGTATTGATGAAATTTCATCTAGACCACATAGAGTAGCCACGCAAGTTCCAGCCGCACCCATCCTGTCAGAGCCTCCTGGTGAGTAGTTTTTATCGACTGATTTTTTGTTATAATAAAACTTTGATTGTTCACTTATTTCCACAAACAAGCCTAAATATATATATATATATCTATCAGAGACTAAGCATTCCAATGTGATACTGTTTTAGTTATGATCAATTAAGAATTTCAACTGTTAATATACTTTTTTTTTGTTTTTAGCTGCGGAAGCCACCGAGAAAGAGAGTGAGTAGATGCGTATCTTAACATTTATAGATCAAATTCCATCTCTGTTAATAACTAAATGGGTAGTAAAACTAAACCATGATTTTATAACAATGAACTAAGAGCTTGTGGATTAGCTGCAATCAGCTGTGTAGTCTTTGCTGTGCCACTGTTTGGACTGAAAGGGTTTTGTTTTTAAATTATAGTTAAATGTTTGGTGTAAGAATGAGATTGGAATCAGCTGACTCCGCAGTGCATACTTTAGCTTCCTCTTTCTGCATGTAAACAACACACACTGTGTTTAAATTAGTGTTAGATGGATTTACATGAATTACTTTTTTTTTTAAGTTATTTTTTTGGCCTTTTATTGGCTTTATTCGATAGTAACAGCTGTAGATAGACAGGAAAGGTGGGTAGAGAGAGAGGGGATGACACGCAGCAAAGGGCCCCAGGTCGGATTGTTGAATGTTGCTATAAGTCAATAATTTCATAGTTAATGTTTGATTATTCTGTTCATTCCTCGGTCAGCCGTCCCTGAGCCAGAACCTGAAGCAGCACCTTCACCAGAGGAGCCAAGCCCTCCGGCCCCTGATACCGAAGTAGTGGCCCCCAGTGAAACAACTGAACCGCCCCCAGGTTGTCTTCATACTTATCTATACTCCTACATGCATGTCTAACATGTGCCTCCTGTGTAAACACAGCGTTTGAACCAAAAAGTAATAGACAAAAGCATAGTAGATGTAGAATAATGTGTGCTATTACAATTTGTGCACATACTATACTCTGTCAGAAATGGTGACACCAACTGGTGAAGTCATGTTACTGCAGGTTATAAAACACACCTGTCTTTTCTCACATCTTTACACTCTGCTCATAATTGTCACACATTAGTAAAATGTTAAAAATACAGTTCTGCAGTGATAATGTTTTATACACGAGGCACCCTGGATATTCTGAACGTGTATCGTCTTGTCTGTGTGAGAGTGCATTTACCGCATGAACTGTGATTCTTGCATGTGTTTATTTTTCTTGTATTTAGCAATATATGTGTCACACTCATTGTGTTCTGTTTGGTTTAATTTAATTTGTGTCCTCTAACCTTGTAAATTAACCCTTTACAGTTTCAGTTCAACTTTGAACACTCACATACTCACCTCCAGTCTAAACTGTAAATATTTCCGTTGTTGTGGGACACAGTTGTTGGACACAGTTGTTGGAGTTCTCAGTATTCTATACAGCATATGTTGGCTCCTGGTGTGTTTGTTGTCATATTTGCGTTGGAAGATGGAAGCCTTCCTGTCTGAAAATGTCTGTGAATGTGTTATACTTTGTTTAACTTCCTGTCCTGGGATAGAAAAGTTTTGTTTGTTTGTTTTTTCTGCTAACTGTAATGCGATAATATTGATCATAATTGGAAGCTGCCCTTAGAAGTTAATTACATATTTTGACCTTTTTTCATGCTGTGTCAAAGATATAATTTAAACAGGAAGTCAGAAAAGAAAAGACCCTGAATGTCAGTGTGGTAAGAGGTGCTTGAGTAAAAATTAGCTGACACTGACATTAACACAGACAAAAGTTACAACTCTATAATACTTACTTCTAGTATTAAATGATATACAGTATGTATGTCAGTGTTGAAGGCAGCTTCCAGTTGTTATTGAGTTAGTGTGCATGCTCTGCAGAATATTACCAGGGTAAAGATGAAGAAATGCATGGATCCTGATGGTCTTCCCCTTCAGTAATCTTGTAAACAATTGAATTTTAACCCACACTACCCTCAACAGCAGATGAGCCAGTGCTAGAAGCACCCCCAGAAGAGGCAGCAGAACCACCTGCTGCACCTGTAGTTGAGGAGGGTAAGATTTGAGAGTAAATGGTCTCATTAATTTACCCATTCTATTGGAAATGTTGGACTTTTCCTGACAATTCAGGTGCCATTTACACCTCAGCTATTCCCTCTGTGGAGTAGGTGCATACTATAGCTCAGTTAAAGATGGATTTCACATATTAGCTGTATGTAACTTTACCACTATACTACCAGAACCATCACCCCCATCTGAGCCATCCCCAGCTGAGGTCATAGAGCCTCCCCCAGCTGAGCTTGCAGAGGCTCCCCCAATTGAGCTCATAGAGCCTCCCCCAGCTGAGCTTGCAGAGGCTCCTCCAATTGAGCTCATAGAGCCTCCCCCAGCTGAGCTTGCTGAGGCTCCCCCTGCTGAGCTTACAGAGCTGTCCCCTGCACCTGTTGTGGAGAGTGGTAAGCTGTGCATGGAACCAGCGATGTACATTTACCACACCTGAGGGTTTAATTTGTCTTAACTGGTTAATGCTCCGGTTATACTAACAGAACCTACAGCAGCAGCAGAAAGCCCTGCAGCAGAGCCACCCGAGTCTCAACCTGAAGTTGTGGCAGAGAGTGGTAAGACCATAGTCCAGCCTCGGTTGGAGCGGGAAGCGGGCAGACACGACACCGATACTTTTTCCCCCCATTCTGATAATGTTAATGTTAATTTCAAACACCTTTTTCTTCTATTTGTTTTTAACATTTTTTCTCATTACAGCTGTTTACCCTGCCTGTTCATGTCTTTTCCACATTGTTTGGGTTCTTGTAGTGATAAAGGTTAATGTCATTCACATGATAAATTTTATTTCTTTTTCCATTTACTCCTTTCAGGTGTATTTGTGTAATAATGAGCATCCAAGACCATGCACTGACTATGCCGCTCTCCTGTCTTTGCTTTTTGCATTCTCTCGCTCTCTCTTCCTCCTCTCTTTCACCCTCCCTTTCTCTCGTGCTTGCTGTCGCTCTCTCATGCCAACTCCAGGAGTGGACATCGTACCTGCCTCTCTCAAGGTCCCCTCACACACCCCATACCTCCTTATTGGTGGAGGTACCGCCTCTTTCGCTGCTGCCCGGTCTATTCGAGCCAGAGACCCCGGTGCCAAGGTCAGTCAAGCCTCTATTTTCCACAATACAAGCTTAGAATTCAGTTCATTATCCACCATGCTGTACCTCAGTTTCTCAGTTATATTTGTGTTTTTATTTTTATTTTTTTTTGCTACCAGGTATTGATTGTGACTGATGAGCCAGACCTTCCATACATGAGACCACCTCTTTCAAAGGAACTGTGGTTCTCTGACGATCCCACTGTGACGGAAACACTGCGTTTCAAACAATGGAATGGAAAGGAAAGAAGGTGTGTTTAAGTTTTGTGCTTTTGGTAAAATGTTAAGTAAAATGTTCAGAGATGTTAAAACATTTTGTATTTATTTGGCAGTATCTACTTCCAGCCAGCATCATTCTACATTCCTCCAGAAGAATTGGAAAGTGCAGAAAATGGGGGAGTGGCTGTTCTCACCGGCAGAAAGGTACAGACACAGTGTGCTGACTTTATATTTATATACATTATAGTAGTTGGATACGTTATTTATACCAGAAATGAGGATACTTTTTGACTATTGAATGAGATTCCTGACAACTAATACATGATTTATTCAATTTCAGGTGGTTCACATGGATGTGAGAGGAAACAAAGTAAAACTTGACAATGATACTGAGATTTCATATGACAAGTGTTTGATTGCTACAGGTAAGCCACTTAAAAAATGCATTTGTTTACCACATGTGGCTTAAACATGGTGGAAGCTTATTTGAACTGCTCTCTTCAGGGGGAATGCCAAGAAATCTGCAGGTCATTGAAAGAGCAGGAGAGGAGGTGATGGAGAAGACAACTTTGTTCCGCAAGGTCAGTGTTTAGCCACAAGGAGGCCTGGGTTTCTGCCTGATAGTACAAAGCTCCAGAAAAGTGTCATATTTTCGCTGGTGTAATAGTAAAGGTATGACATGATGGAAATAATTAGATCGCAATAATTATGAGTGATTAAGTTATTTGTTGGATAACAGGAAAAACTTTCTGAATGTAGATTCCAGTGTAAGCAAAAATACTTAATTACTTAATTAATAATAATAATAATAATATTATTAATAATAATAATAATAATAATAATAACAATAGAAAAATACATTGATAACTCCAGTTACTCCAGTGGTTTTAGGGGACTGCAGTGTGTGCAGCTTTTACTGTTTGTCCATTATTTCTATGATGTTACATTTTAAAGTAGTTGCAATAAGAGTCATTGCAGTCCCATTATAGGTGCACAGAGGGGTATGACAGACATATATATATGTGTGTGTGTGTGTGTGTGTGTGTGTGTGTGTGTGTGAGACAAACAAAAGAGTAAATTTGTTCTCCTCCACAGATCGAGGACTTCAAATCATTGGATAAGGTCTCCAGAAACATCAACTCCATCACAATCATTGGAGGAGGCTTCTTGGGCAGCGAGCTGGCTTGTGCCCTCGGCAGGAGATGTAAGTCTACTGGACTACATGAGAAAATGACAGAATGTGTAAAAACATTGATGTTTAACAGAACTGATTTTGTTTTGAATTGAATCTGTCATTGGATCCTCATTCTCCTTTTTTCAGCAAATGAGTCTGGCCTGGAGGTGATACAGATGTATCCTGAGAAGGGCAACATGGGAAAAGTGTTGCCTGAGTATCTGAGCAACTGGACAACAGAAAAAGTCAAATCAGGTTAATGTCCATTTTGCACTCTAGCACTCTAACTGTCTTAATTGTCTAAGCTTTATTTTTTTTATCTAATTTCTCCATTCATTAAATATTCCCTCCTCGGTTTTCTAGAGGGTGTAAAAGTCATCTCAGAAGCTTTGGTGAAATCTGTGACCTGCAAAGATGATAAGTTAGAAATCCAACTGAAGGATGGCCGATTGGTAGGTTTTTGCACAAGTTCATTGTAATTCAAGAAATGACTTATTAGTTACTGATTATCTTGTGCTTCACCTTGTAGGTGAAAACCGATCACATTGTTGCAGCTGTTGGCCTGGAGCCCAATGTTGACCTTGCTAAGTCAGCAGGTCTGGAGGTGGACTCTGACTTCGGCGGCTTTCGGGTCAATGCAGAGCTGCAAGCTAGATCCAATATTTGGGTGGTAAGTTAATATTTCGAAGGGAGTTTAAGTATTCTAAAGTCAATAAAATGTTGTAATTTACTATTTATAAAAAAAGTGACGGATTTTGACTGGCTTTGGAAATTAAAGAGCAGGTGTACTATAAACTGATCACTAGTTGTGGGAGCAATTTTTGCTGTTTATGCTAAACCCCATTTGGCTATTTCAGCAATATTTTTATCTCCTTTTCTAGTTGGACAAACATATTTATTTAAACATGGCACTCTTTTTATTGCCCACTTTTATGGAGAGTTGGTAAAAAGCATCCTAAATCCACTTTACTGGGTTTTTAAGGTTCAAAATGCTTTACTCAGTAGATCAAGGTGAGCTGCATACAAGGTTTCTTAAATGTATGCCTTTGATCTTTTCAAACTTATCTTGTATTATAGCGCCCTCCCCAGGCAAAATTAGGTCATGGTCCAGAAACCATACGCATCTGTAGACATGTAATGGTTATATAGTTTTAATTTATTCTAATCCACCTATCTGTTCGGATTCAGGCAGGAGATGCTGCATGTTTCTATGATATCAGACTGGGCCGCAGACGAGTGGAGCACCATGATCATGCCGTTGTGAGCGGGAGACTAGCAGGAGAGAACATGACAGGAGCCAACAAACCCTACTGGCATCAGTCTATGTTCTGGTGGGTATTGCAGTACTTCATATTTCCTGCTAGTGATGCAAATTCAAGGTTTTCATGGGTCAGAGATTCAAACTGTTTCCCAAACAACTGCTGTGGCTGCAAGCTATGAAACCAGCTTGAAGTGGAAACGAAGGAAAATATTTGAGAAAGCGAGATCTAGTCTGAATTGTTGATTGCGTAGGTCCACATTCATTGAATACATTTAAATAAGCGGGCACTGGGGCAGCATGTACAATTCTGCAAATGACTCAGATTTAATCCTTTTAGAAGTCAGATGAACATGCATGATTGCTTTGAAGTCTTGAATACCATTAAGTTCTGAAATATTTAAAATGCCTTTTAGAGGACATTAGGATAGGAGTTTCCACCAGAGTGCTGCGTTACTCGGCGAGACATTTTTAAACCCATCATAAATGTACTAACTCTGTTAAAAACATTACTGATATGATCGCAAGGGGACTCTACCAGATATTCAGGGAGTTGCCAAAAATGTAACAGTGTGGAGTGTGGCCCCGCACTACACAGACGAATGCTGTGACTGCATGCTTCTAGCACCTGGTGAAATGTGACACACTGCTGACAACATAGGTTCATTGCGGTCCAAAAAAACCAACAACACAGGTCCATTCATCAAACTATCATGGGTCACTCCTATGAATGACAGTGTAATGTGTCTGCATAATCACAGCAAAGGTAAAGTAACAGGACACACAACCCCTTATCATTCAGCAGCAGCAGTGGTAGTTAGACCCCATTTACACCTGGTCAAAAAATGCAATCTGTAGCCGGACACGTTGAGATATAGAAGGTGTAAATGCATTGTTTTTGGAATGTGATCGGATCTGCCTGGCTTGATCTGGATGTAACCTGGCTCGCAGTGTGTGCGGATCTTAGGCACATTCACCATTAGTGAGGGAACATTTTTGCATCACAAATTAAATTTTCACTGGCAAAAAAACCCTGATTCAAATAATGATTTGGTCCGTACCAAACTTAACTTAACACTGGAAAACAAGATTTGTTGACATCTCTTCAGAACTATAGTTCTTCATTATAATAGTTTTGTCATTTGTCTAGATATCGTTTCTGGATAGAGATTGTATTTTAATACCAGGTGTAAATGGGATGTTAGTTCATTTTAACAGTCATGTCCATGTTTTTAATATTTAACTTGTTAGGAACAAACAGATACCCTCAGTCTATATTCCATTTTCACTCGTCATTGAAAACCTTTAGTTTGAAATCGAAGGTCTTTTTGGTCAAGTACTGCATGTAAAACAAACTTTTTCAAGAACAATTCAAATGGTAAAACTCACAATTAAAAGCAAGCCTGCAGATTTACTGTAAGTCTGCAGGTGTCACACTAAAAGCTGGTTTATGAGCAGAGTTTAACAGGAATGTTGGCACTTTTTCAGAGTTACTGTGCCAACACTCCTGTTGATTATAGGTCTGAATGACGCCACATTTAGTGTACGTACAGGCTCTCTGGGCAGAATGACCACAGCAGGTAATTTGTAAAGGTCACAGTTGGCTGTGACATTACTTCAGGTCATCAGCCAGCTTGAAACTCATCAGGTGGCAGTGGGGGGTTGTCAGTGAAGTTCACAGCTAAATTTTTAACGAGTGCCCCATCAACCTTGTTTGTTTTGTGCGTGTGTGTGTGTGTGTGTGTGTGTTTGTTTGCGTGTGTCTAGACTAGGAGCTGTGTGAGGTACACAAACATATACACTGTTTTGGAAGCTGTTTTGACAGTTAAGTTTTAAAATCTAGAAGTTGCTGTACTTCTCTTTAGAAGATGAACTTCAGCAAAACTATTTTCAACATACATTTGCAGAATATTTTGTTTTTGCTTAGAAAATGTAGTTGACACTACTTGGTACAAAATGACAGTAAGCTTAACTGTTAAGTTAAGCTAATATATACTGACATTGCAGCTAGCAGTGTCAGTATATATTAGTTTAACTAAAAACAGTATCATTAGGATGTGGGGGGTGGGAAGCCATTTCTTTGAAATAAAGTATGTGTTTTTTCTTTGCATGACCTGAAAGGTCTTGTCACAGCGCAGGAAAAAGAAATAAATGGACAAAGAATTCTTCTTACTCTGAGAGCTTTAAATCATATTATTCCCTCAACATGTTTTCCAATCTCATGTGGTTTCACACAGGAGCGACCTGGGGCCAGATGTAGGCTACGAAGCAATTGGGATTGTTGACAGCAGCCTACCAACAGTAGGAGTGTTTGCCAAAGCCACTGCCAAGGATACACCTAAAGCTGCTACAGAGAAGTCAGGTAGGAGGATTAACCACACAGTTAAACAAATCTTAACTAAGCAAATGAAGCAAAAATAAAGAGTGACTTTGAGGACCAAGGGTCAGGTTTAGTCTTACTTGTTAAATGTATCGCAGGAACTGGGATTCGCTCGGAAAGTGAAACTGAGGACACAGCCACCAGCCCAGTGGCGTCCTCAACGCCTGCTCCCGCTATGGTGCAACACAAAGACGACTACGGGAAAGGAGTCATCTTCTACCTGAGAGACAAGGTGGTGGTGGGCATCATCCTGTGGAACGTGTTCAACCGTATGCCCATTGCAAGAAAGGTACGCACAGTGTAAGAACAGTGTGTCATAGTGAGGATTCAAATACAGACTTGTTCATTGTAAACCATTTATATCTGTTATTTGTAGATAATCAAGGATGGAGAGGAACACGCAGATCTGAATGAAGTGGCCAAGCTCTTCAACATCCACGAGGATTAAGATGGTGGAGGCTGAGACTCATTATCATGTTTAAGACTGAACTCTAACAGCTATTTCCACACTCTTGAAGACACGACATACATCAAACATGAAAAACGGGAGAATTAATGTAAATTACGTATTTTAATATCTGGAATTTCTATCTGCTGCACCTGGTTTGTTGTTTCTTTTTTTTTCTATTCAGGAGAAATCAGTCTCATCTTCCGCCAAACTTGTCATATTTCTGGAAATCATGGTCAAGATGTGATCGTCCGTCTGCTTTTCCCCCACCAGGCTGAAAATGTCGAGCATGGATTATTGTTTTCCTCTGTGTGATCAGAGCAGTTTGTCGTGAGAAAAGCTGCAATAAAAGCTATTTTTAAATTGGAGTGATCCCATTATTTTGCTCCTAGATAACAGCACTGATGACAGATGAGTTGACCTGCCTCCTGAGCTGTGATGGATGTTAAAGTCTGTGTGGTTGAGCTCATCTGTCCTGAAGCATTTTAATCAATGTGGGCTGCTTGGTGAATTTACTTGGGTCATACAACTGATTGGAGCTTCTTTAACTGAGCGAGGTGGTGTTAAAGGTCAAAATCACGTATTGTTTTTTTAAAAAATGTGAACAGACAGGCTTGTACAAAGAGCACCTGACGAGTACTTTTTACAGTGTGTGAGGAAGTACTTTTAATTAAGTAGAGCCAACGTGAGCTCCAGTAAAACAACATTAAAATTAAGCCTGGCCTAGTTATCTTGTCCGGAGGTGAAAATGTTCACGCATGCAGAAACATTGTTTTTTTTTTCCCTCTACTGTGGGCTTCTTGTTATTAGGAATGCACTCATGTTTTATATCCTCACACATTTCTTATCCTATTTGACACTGTTGGCTCCAGAGCGAAGTGTGGAGCGGCCTCTCAAGTGTGAAGCAAACACGTGCAGCCATAACGTCCCGTCGCTTTCTTTGACATTAATTTTACATGAGTAAATGGCCAAACTGCCTCCGCCTCTGTATGGAGGAATAAACATGAGCTTCCACGTTTCTATCTGAATTTGTCCGGCGAGTTGAAGATGAAATAATTAGACCAGAAACCTCGGACTAATCTGCTAAAGAAATAACCTCTGATTGTGAGCTGACGCTTAAAGAGAAGTGTTACACTTGATTTAATTAGAACTTTATGCCTTCATCCTATTTCCCTTTAGCTGTAATGATGTTCTTGTAATTGTAGACAATTCAATCTTGAGCTAATGATCAGTCAATGATTTACACTATAGGAAGTTATGTACTGATGATGTTCCTTTTTACACACTTAACAATTTATCACCACAATATGAAAAACATACCAATACAAAAAAAAACCATCCAATGTAGAAGATATCTGTATCTTTTAAATTAATGTGAATTTTTGCATTTTGAAGACCATAATTTGAATTTATGGCAATGGAAGAGAGCCTTGTAAATCCCATTGTATTATATTACATATTTATTAGCTTCTGTCAAATTTGTGGATTTGGGTTCATAATTACTTGCAGGACTGTGTGGTTACTTAGTAATGTTTAATCAATAGAAAAACATGACATTACAAAATACTTTTATCTTTTAATTCAATATACTGTTGATCTGATGCTGTCATGAAGAGCAATGTTGGCCGCTCCTCTTTGAAAATGCCCCTGTCTCTTTAAGTATTCTAGCAGTAATTCCTTGAACATGCATATAGCCATGAAAAAGAGATAAAGCTTGAAGTCATCCCCACATCCCCACATACACGGGCAGAAAAAAAAAAAAAACTTCCCTAGGATTTTGAATTATACAGCAGCAGCTTCCTGTATTTACACCTGCAGAGAGGGAGGGATGCTCAGCTGAGTCCAGAAGACAGAGCCTGGCTGGATGAGCAACAACAAGTTCCCTGCATCTCTGCTTTTTTCTTTTTCTTTTTCCTCTATTGGTCTTACATCTACTGTCTATACTAACTAAGAATGCTGTTGCACATCTTGTGTATGACATGGGCTTCATCTGTCATTTTTCTGCAAGGCAGGTAAGAAACGGTTTTGATATATATAGGAGAACTCTGGGAATTGCTGCTTCGTTAGGCATTGTAATGTAAATGAATGTTTGTTTGACGGTGTATTTATTGTATTTAAATGATTTTACAGTGGCAACATATAACTATTGATAATAAGACATTAGATGATGTTTGTGCTTCTTTGACCATGGGGCATGTCAGCATTACTGTTCTCTTAAAATGATAAGAATTATGCATGAAATGTTGTGTAATCTATAATTAAAAGACAACAGTTCCATTAAGGGAAAATGTTCATTATTGTAAGATGCAGGATTTTATGGCACAGGCAACTGCATGAGATGCCAGCCAGTAACACACTTTTCCCAGCTAAGTGACAAACATTGTTTAGTACAAATTAGATCCAACTTTTCCTCAAGAAAAACTGGAGGTATTAAATATTAAATATCAGTACATCCAGAGTTGGTTTTCTCGTCACCTGGCAGGTCTGTGCTCTGTAAGGAGATGAAGTTATCCAGCAGGGCAACCAAGGCCCCCTCTCCATCTGACTTTCTGGACAAACTGATGGGACGCACATCTGGCTATGATGCTCGCATCAGACCAAACTTCAAAGGTAACACGCACTGTGGCATGCAGTGGGAGGACCTCCTTCATCAAGGACAGGTGTGAGAAAGTGCGCTGCTCATTTAAAGTAACAGTCTGGGCAGTGAAGTAGCACAAATCATTCACAGATGGGTCAGAAGAGAGATGCTGCAGGCTGTGATGTTTTCACACAGGAGCCTTGTTTTTCTTTCTTTTTTTGTCATGTGTTACTGTTTTTATGCTGACCTACAGCCTTAGGTTGTGATATTTTTACACAGACGTCTCTTTCAGATTTTCTTTTGTCAGAAATGTGCAGCTATGTTACCCCACAGGCCTATTTTAGAGCCAATCTTGATCTCTCGTTGTAAGTGAAGCCAGCAGATTCCCTCTGACATACTTCCCCCTTAGTCTCTGGGGTCGCATTTCATATATATTTCATACTTGCCCCACATCCTTGTCAGTGCATGCTGGGTAGCCTAAATCCCGGCTGATTATCTATATATACACTAATGTAACTAAAGGAGAATCAATAAATTATTGCCTCTCAGGAAATGAGTCGCTGAAATATTTAAAGTTTCGGTGGCCGACAGATGGACCACACTAATGGGAGCATACTGGAAATGACAACACAATTTCATGCTGATTATGTTGGAGTCTATTTATCAGGACACAGCATGACACATTATGAAGAGAACAAGCAGATGTTATTTTGCGGGGACTGCTTTGCTCTTTAAAGTCTTCAATACTTAATGTGGTCTCCTCAGAAAACATCATCAGTGGTATTTAAGAAAACTAGTGTGACTGTGATGTGTGATGTCAATCTGCTTCTGTCAGGTCCTCCGGTCAATGTCACCTGTAACATCTTCATCAACAGCTTCGGATCCATCACTGAAACAACTATGGTGAGAATTTTCTTTTTTACCCTCAGTGTTCACACACTTTATTTGGATGATCAAAACATGTAGATCATGTGGAAAATATAAGCATGTGAACATCTGCTTTTATCGTCTGATCATTGCAATATAGATATAAGTGAAGTAGGTTTTACACTTTATTTCAGCAATGATTGAACTCCTCTGCATCTGTCTTCATCTGTATTACTGTACCTGGTCTTCCACAGGTTTTAGATAAAGTAGACTTGTCGTTCTTTCACATAACTGCTGCTTGTACCGATAGTAAGCTTCTGATTTACTGTGCCGGGTTGGAGGAGCAAGCAGAAGTGAGATTTTAAATGGTATCCAGTAAGAGTAAGGACTTCCTCATGATACGTTTTGCACAGCAATAATGCCACTTTGAAAGGAAATGCCAAAAAAATAATAATTCAGGTGTCTGTAGTAGTCAGTTTCATACTGTGCCACTCAAAATAATTCCTCCTGCTCATATAACTTGTCACAGAACTTCAGTATCATGTTTCAGTGGGGGTGGAACTCACTACTTTAGTAAAAATAGCAATAAAACTGCAGAAATAATCTGTGGCAAGTAAAGGTCATGCAATGAAATTTCTATGTAAGCAAATAAGCATCTAAATATATTTAAAGTACCAAAAGTAAAAGTAGTCATTATGCAGAATGGCCCATTTCAGAATAATATATCATTGGATTATAATTATTGATGTATTATTGTGTAAACATCACTTTACTGTTTCAGCTGGTAAAGATTGGGCTAATTGTAACTACTGCTGGGTAGTTTAATCTGTAAATATTATATCAGAATTAATCAGTTTATTATATTTTGGAATAATATAGTGGAGTATATGAAGTTTCTTAGCACTCCCTAACCAACAAACACATTGAAAACAAAGAGTGATGAGTCATATATCAGAACTGATTTTATTTAACTTGCTTTAAAAAGCCTTAAATGGTTTCAACTTGCTGCCAGTGCAGGGATTTCTGTCTATGTTATTTGGACAACAGAGCAGGTGAATGCTCATTTATCAGATGCATCAGATTCTTATTCATTTGAAGCCTTTCTGGCTCTTCTCCCTCTGTTTGGAGAGGCCATTTGGAGCACATTTCATGATGCCTTAGCATACTGTCATTAGATTATGACTAATTAATGACTATAAACAGCATCTTGTAATGTCAGCTATGTTTTTCCTCATATCTCTGTCTCTGTCAAATAAGGGACTATCATTTATTTATGAGGCCCTTGGAAAGTGTTTGGGGACAGTCATGTATTTTATTTTTTTATTTTTTTATTCAAGTTTCGAGTTAGGAAGACTCATGCATTTTGTAAAATACCTCTAGGGAGGGCCATCAAATTTTAATTGATGATATTGTAAGTGGAATTTTCTGTCGTTCAGGTTATGAGCACTCAAGTCTGTTTGTCAGCATTTATGCTTCATTTTAGTTTTTTGCTCACACTGTCAGAGTTTGCGTGGGCACAGTGCTCCTCACCTGCTGAGAGATGCTGCAGGTTACTGCTTTGATTTGTTTTTTGCTTGTGACTTGTGCTTTATTCATATGATCTTGGCCCTCTCACAAGGTTTATCAAAATGACACCATAATTAGATGTATAGACACATGCAAAATAGTCTAATCTGTCTGACAAACCTAAAAAATCGTAATATGATTCTGCAGTGGTATGAATGCCACAGCTGCCACTTATTGCAACATATTTTATTTCTGTAACTATAACTGGTTTCATTTCTAACTATGACTTTGTTCCATACCGTAGGACTACCGGCTCAATGTATTTCTGCGACAGCAGTGGAATGACCCTCGACTGGCATATAAGGAGTACCCAGATGACTCTCTGGACCTGGACCCCTCAATGTTGGACTCCATTTGGAAACCGGACTTGTTTTTTGCAAATGAAAAGGGGGCAAACTTTCACGAGGTTACGACAGACAACAAACTGCTTCGGATATTCCAGAATGGAAATGTCCTCTACAGCATCAGGTGACCTGTTTTTAAAATCGTGAGTCTGGCTGAATAATGCACTAGGCTGTACCTCTGTCAGACATTGCAAATCCACTTCTGTGGTTTGTTAAGTTGCCAACCGAATATGAACTCTATGTGCTGTAGTCTAAACCTCTAAATATATGATCCAACAACATGTTTGTTTCACTCCAGTTCAGTCTAATTGTCGTTGTACTGTCCAGCACCCACTGTGAACAAGTTCATGTTAAACAGTAACTCCAGGCTAAAACAGAATCAGGTCAGTGACGTGGCACTAAAGCAGTGGTGAATTGTAGCGTAATGGTAAGGATTTTCATTAGAATACTTACTCAGACATCAGTAGAATCCTTGCCAACACTTCTATTAAGGAATAGGGTTTTTTATATATCTTGATCTCTATGTCTTGTGAGAGGGGAAGCACTCTTCTATTTTTACTGATTGTGGTGCTGTGTTCTCAGCTCTTTTTACGTCAAGCCCTCCGCAAAGGCTGACATGTTGTCAGTCAGCACTTGTCAGTGCTCAGTGAGGTTTGTGTGGGGCGCGGTGCAGGAGACAGATGGACAGGAGGACAGGTGCCAGAGAGGTTAGAGCTGCTTGATGCAACCCGTAATGTAGGGTGAGTGTACAAAAAGGGTTTGAGTGACACATAAGCAGGAGAAGGCTGGTGCTGTCGGTTTAGTTCCGGGGGCTAGCTGGGTATCTAGCTAGGATGGGAGAGTGGGGTGTGAGAGTATCACACAACTTTTCATTTGATACAACATTCCTGTTTGCTGTCTGTTTTCCAGGTTGACACTTACCCTTTCCTGCCCCATGGATCTGAAAAACTTCCCCATGGACAGCCAGACGTGTATAATGCAGCTCGAAAGCTGTGAGTTGATCTTTCAAGGCAGACTTTAAAACATTACATATAGATTTTTTATAAACTTACAGTATACTTGACTCTCTCCTCTAGTTGGCTACACCATGAATGATCTTATTTTTGAGTGGTTGGACGTGGGAGCGGTGCAGGTGGCCGACGATCTGACACTCCCACAGTTTGTGCTGAACGAGGAGAAAGGCCTCGGCTACTGCACCAAGCACTACAACACAGGTACATGACACCAGACGACCTGCCAACCAACATCCTTGATACGTACTATCAATCAACATCTAATAAGACTGTCAGTTTGTACCTGTATCTCCTCCTGTGGTTAGGTAAATTCACCTGCATTGAGGTCAAATTTTACCTGGAGCGTCAAATGGGCTACTACCTGATTCAGATGTACATACCAAGCCTGCTCACTGTCATCCTGTCCTGGGTGTCTTTCTGGATCAACATGGATGCAGCTCCGGCCAGAGTGGGATTGGGAATCACCACAGTGCTCACCATGACCACACAGAGCTCTGGCTCCAGGGCCTCCCTGCCAAAGGTCAGACACTTTGGTTTGTGTAAGCCATTGTTTTTTATGAATTCTGGACAAATTTCAGACAAAAATGGTCACTGGATGTGTGCTATAAACTTTTCTGATTTTCAAATGTTTAATTACTACTTGACTCATATTACTACTATAATTTTAATTACTACTTGACTCATAAGAAACCTTCCATATATGAAGCTGACATAATCTCAAGAAAGCAAAAGTAAAAAAAAAAATTACAGTAAAATCAGAGAAATTAAATTCCAAGTGTGTGTTCTGATAGGAGTTTGAAGACATTTGTATTCAATTTTATTGCTGATGCATTGAGCCCTATAGGTCTTGTACTAGCATAGACAGGACTACGTAAATGGTTGAAAATGCAGTCATGGAAGAAGCACACGGATTATTTTCCTTAGCCTAAATAGAGGTCAAACCACCATGCAAAAATACTCCACTACATAGGAAAGCATTCAGATTAAATTACCGAAAATTATGTAAAGCAGGATTGCTTACATCAGTAATTATTTAATAATCTAACATGTAACTCCTGACACAGAGTTTGTGACTCCGTCTTTCTTTCATGCCACTGCCTAACAAGGCATGAACGTGAATGTTCACTGAGTGATTTCACTGATTTGATTTTGATGGTTTCACAGGTGTCCTATGTGAAAGCCATAGACATCTGGATGGCAGTGTGTCTTCTATTCGTGTTTGCCGCACTATTGGAGTATGCAGCCGTAAATTTTGTTTCACGCCAGCACAAGGAGTTCTTCAGACTGAGGAAGAAGCTCAAAGAGCAACAGCGGCAGAGAGCTGTGAGTGCAACCTACCCCCCTCAGGCCCTCGGGCGACTGTCACCTGCTATTCCCTGCGCCCAGCTATGCACGAGCTACACAACTCAGCTGCATGTTGAACTGTAGCCGGAAAATACAGATGGCATTGACCTGTAATTAATACAAGCCATCGCCATATTCCACTGTTGGCTGAATGTTCCCAACATATTGCTGCCTTACTTTGGATCTCACAAGAAAAAGAGAAACAGGGGGAGAAGAAATAGGCCAAACCACCTTTAAATATGAAGTATTTCTTAAATGAAGCAGTGTGACAGCAGCTGCAGGATTAAATAATACCTTGAAATATTTATAACTCAATACTCAAAACATCTGCTTGGAACCTTTGTACTTCATTTGTTGGGATTATGCAATGCCATTGAAATTTGCTCAGACTACATCTTTAAACTGTCTCATTACTCAGATTTGAATTCACTTTGTAAGAAACAGATGATGATCACTTGTTAATGTGCAAGAGTTGAAACATTCATGCAGCACAGGGGAGTTGTGTCGTGGTTGCAAACTGTTTGATCAGTGCAGTCTGTTTGATGATTACATTTATGTTTTTTTCTCCCTCATCAGCAGTCAAGTGGTGACAGTAAGGTTAAAGGAAACAACATGTCAGGCAACAATGCTCCTCAGGGCAACGTAGCCCAGCAGTGCAGTGTCTGTGCCCGGGTACGTACTGTTTCCTTGTTCAGTTTAACACCAGCCAATCAGCAGACATGTGATTCTCAGTGAGAGCAGATGGTTATTCTGTGCTGTGTCTGTTTCTTCCAGGAGGAGGAGCTGGCACAGCAGGGTTTACTCTTCCAGAGTTTTGGACTTGCACTGTCAGCAGGAAGTGCGCCGGAAATGGATGCAACACCAGTCTTTGCAGATTTACCTCCCGGTTTAGGTTTCTATGACATACGCAGGCGCTTTGTGGATCGGGCAAAAAGGATTGATACCATCTCCAGAGCAGTTTTCCCCATGAGCTTTCTCATGTTTAATGTCCTCTACTGGCTAACCTACAAAGTTCTACGACACGAAGACCTTCTAGCCGGGCTGTGACGACACACCGACTGAGGACCATAAAGACACAGGATACCTTTATACCGTCTCTCTACACTGAAACATTCACAGGCTGAGAGTCCTCAGCTGAGCCATACAAGATGCGTTGTGACTGCGTGTCCAGTGCCATTGGGAAATTCCATGACATGGAAGAGTCCGTTGGTTTCTGTGAATTTTTAATACTTTCGAAAGAAATGCACTTTTTATTGCCACTGATGCTTTATGCATTACATGTCAGGGTACAGTATGAGTGTACAGTTGGCATCTTAAACGTAGCATCTCACACTTTCTAGGAAACATGCAGTTTCTGTAGCTTCACATGTATTTGGCCTGCAGCACATCTGAGGGATATTTATTTTGTGCATTAATTTTACTGGTGTCATGGTCAACATTGTCATATCACAGACACATAACATATATCACTACATCCAGGAAGCAAATTTTGGAACTAGCAGCTCTGTTGTGTTTCTCAGCTCGGCTATGCTTTACAGACCTGTCAATACATTATTTTTTATGATATGACTATTTTATCTAGCATATTTATCAATTTAATTACATTTTAAACCCTCCAATAGGAAGCCTCTCCATAATAAATACTGGAATAATCTGTTTTAAAAATGTGTTTCAAATTTAAATTAGGGTATTTAATGCCTAAAGAAGGATACATTGATCAGAGTTTATATAATGGCATGGCATACACATAGTCAAATAGCCAAAGAGTAACAACATGTTAATGTAAATTAAAAGTGAAAATGTCATTATAAGATGCTAACAGGCTCTGGAGCGTGGTGAATTACCAGTATGTTTCCATTCACAATAAAATGAATAGAAATAATCATATTAAATATATTATGTCAACCAAAAAGATTTTAATTTTGTTTGTTGGAGATTGGATCACTTGATAGTGGAACAGTTATCAAAACATAGTTCCCCTGAGATCTGCACAATGGGTGTTTTATTGGTGTTAAACAAGCCCAATAAGTTACACACCGAGAATAATTTGTGACAAATATGTCTTTGAAGTCTTGTTGGTCAATATAAAATAAAGAAATGCTTTTATTTGAAATACTGAATCATAATGTAACTTCTTTATGTATGATGTTCATTTTGATGATATGTAATATGAGAACATGTGTTTCCCCTCCTCCCCTTTAATAGCATGCCAGAGTCTAAACCAAGGGATTACACTTAATGTGCACACTTAATTATCAGCTATAATATTTAGTAAATTATATTAAAGATCCCCTTCAGACATGTATTAAGACATATACAAATTGGAATAATAATGTGTGTCAGATATGATTTTTTTCCTGCAAATTCTGTATAATATTCTCATTAAAATCCGTGAATAAAGAGCCTTTAAACTCCTTTACCTCATTAAAAACTCTAAAATCTATTAATGTGAATTTTGTTCATTTCTAAAGTTTTCCTGCTGAACACAAAATGTCTCCTACTTCACTGTAAAGTCTATTCTTAGTGTATGTGCACTGATGGCTTCAAGTTTCTACATCACACTAGTATAAGTGGTGTACTAGGACCAAAACTGACATCCAAAATATTTGTGATGTCAGAAATCATGCTTGCAAGCCCCGCCCCTTAATAATCTGATTTTCAATGCAGAGAAACTTTCCACTTTCAGTAGATGAATGTGAAAACATATTTTTAGTGTCAAACTTTGCACATACATCATTGTGCACAGTGAAGCGCAAACCTCCAACTGTTGGAACAAGAAGAAAATCATATTTTAAACTGGAGGGGGACTTTCTCTATGACTTAGCCCAGAAGCACCTTAGAAGTAGTGAGCTAGTTTTCACAGATCTGTCTTCCCTCTAATACTTCCCTCATTCAAGGTTTCACTCAATCCTCACTCTACTTTCATGTGGTAAATGTGCAAAATGCTACTGCAATAATTGCCTCTTTATCTGATCTAATGACTTGCTCAGTACCCACATTGACTGTATGGACTTTTAAAATACTGCTAGATTATGAATTTCTGTATGAACATGCCTGGGGACCAGATCCTTCACTGGAAACCTGGTCTCATTTTAAAAAGAAATCTTGAAATAAAAGGAAGCTGTCATATTAATAATTTATTTTAAAAGGTATAGCTGTCACATGAATATACAGTAGGAGCAGGGCTGCATACATCAGCACTGTATGTCTGTGTGAAATACAGATGGACTCTTACTCTAAATAGCAGTAAAGGAATGACGAGAGGATCCCTATAGACCTGTTTTTAATAAACGCTTTGAGATTTCTATAGTTGCTGATGGGAATAGGTACATCATTGCAAAGAAATTATCTCACATACTAACACATATCTTGAAAAACACAAAATAATAATTTGTTCTGTTACATTAATCTTGTCTTCATCAATCACACAACTACAAATCTTTGAATACGGGCTCAACAGAACTCTCAACAAAGTTTGTTAAATTTAAAAAACACCTTTGTTTTGACTGCAAAGTGAATAGCTCAGCTTGGGTGACACTGTGCTGTATATACAAAAACCTGAGACTGTATCTCTAGCCACAAGAGGGTGCTGTGTGCTCTTTTATGTCCCACATGAGCAATGTTGCACTATGCAACACTTGCCCACGTAGGCCAGATCATACAGTATAAGAGACTCTGTACTCAGTGTCAGATGAGGGTCTTTTGCTGTTTGGAACTTTTACATTCAGAATTTAAAAATGTCATATTTATTGTGTGTGATACTAACTAGCAAATAAACCACCCTTGATCTACAAATTACTAGTTACTTGCACAATATTTACATGTGGAATGTCTATATATAGTAGTTGCTCTTATTTAATTTTTTACATTTTTGGGTGAGGTTTTTTGTTATCGCTAAACTATGGCTATCATTCAGTGTGAGAGAGTTGTTCAAACCCCGTTTAATATGCATCTACTCTTTGTTTGACTTGTCACAGATGAGCAATTAAGCCCGATCCACACATTAAATCAGAGGGTGATTTGACTCACTTAGTAGTGTCAGAGGACAAGAACTTAACGGTAGCCTGGTCCTGATAGACATCTTAATTGTGGGGCAGTTAAGGGAGCAACATTTTGTTTAAATTAGGTTGAAAGGATGGAAGAAGGGCAGGCGTTAAGGGAAAACAAAGCAATACAACCATTCCACACAAGATATTTAATACCTTAATGACTTACTCTGCCCAATGCTCCATTCAAACACTTACTGAGGATAAGTGCTAATTTCTTCAATAAATGCGTAATAGATAAATTCATCCTCTGTTTTGTGATAATGGAATAATCATTTCCAAGTGATATCTCCATGTTTTTGTTTTGTTTTTTGCAAATAGAGGGGTATTAGTTTGCAGGGGAACCATGGCTATCTTTATATATGTATGGGGGTATATGTGATGGGATATGCAGTAAAGATAAGATAAATAGCAAATAAAATATATCACAAAACACAGGGACATGTGCTAAATTAAGTTATTAAGTATGCAAAATGTGTTATTCTTGGTTAAAGATACATGTTGCACAAATTGCAGTATACATTGCAGAAAAATTGCAACATTGTTTTGTTTTGTTTTATTCCACATGTGCGAAAAAATACTAACAAATGAATTAGGAATGTTTGAGGACTGATGTACTGAATTTGCGATACGTTCATTTTCCATTTTGGGAGTAGGGTTTGGTCTCCCCGGGACCCTCCACCGAAGTGTCCACCGGCTGGAGACGTGGCAGCGCCTCCGGTCATATGATTTTAGTTCATGCACGAACCCCACCCCGTTATTGCCTTCCCAGAAAAAAAGGATTTCTTCAGTAACACTTCTCCGTTATTGTAGTGTGGAGAGACACTTTTATACATCTACCAAAAATCTGGAAAGTTCTGCAAAAAAAAAAAATTCGCCGCATAACTCAAAGCCCAAAATCCTATACATGGGATTTAGTGGCGGTGACCACCCAAAACAGTGCCATTTTTAGACGTTTACTGCTGACGTTTCCAGAGGCTTCAAATAGCTTCCGTTTTACTCTGGTAGTGATTGGACTGCTCTGTACTTACCCAGTGAGCTAACGCAGATCCGACATTCTACACTTCAATGGAGGAACAGCCCAAAGATCGGGCACAAGAGAGACCATATCCCCCCCACGGAGAGGACAGACACTCTACTCAACACACAACTTGTCTAAAACATGATCAGAGCCACTTCCAGCGCCAGCATCAGGAAACGCAGACGAAGAAAACAGGTTGGGCCATCCGGAAAAGTGAGCTAACGCTTGCTAGCCTTACTCAGCTAATGTCAACGAGCCGACTAGCATTTTTTTTTTTTTTTGCTAACTAACGTTAACTCCATTGTGATTGCGAGCTTTTAGCCTCCTAGCTAGCTATTTATTCAAACTAACGCTACACGCTGTTGACTGGAGTAATTAAAACACGGTACAGCTGGTGAGTAGCGAACCGATTGGACCGATAGTTGGCCACTGTCGGACCACAAAGCAACCATTAAATGAGCAAGCTACACGGCTAGCTGACGTTGCGTGACAGTTGTCGCTAGTGGTGGTTTGACATATCGGGGATTGACCTTGTGCGCCGGTTTCACCACCCGTTTTCTTTTGGAAAATGCAACTAAATCAGTTCAGAAAACCCCCCAATGTAATACACGCATTCTTTGTGTATAGCTTGTCGCCTTCAGCTGTAGTCAAAGCTTTGTGTTATTCATTTCAGCATGCTTGTGTCCGGTGTAGGAAAACGAGCCGGCTCCACTGGAATGTTCTGAGCTGCCATTTCCTGTCGGCCATGTTAGAATATCACTGCGAGCTAATGCTGTGGTTACCTGGCTAGTTCATCATTTCTTTTGCACAACCACGATACTGTGTCGTACTGGCATGCCTTTAGCGTATTGTGCCTACTCGGGCCGCTGGTGTTGGGTGGCTTTCTATTGGTGGCAGTCAGGGCGTGTTGCTACCAAAAGGAGTCGCTGGCTAGTTGACATTAGCTAACGCTAGCCATATCTGGACAGGCCTGTTGCATGTTGTCCAGTCAACGTGAAGCCACGCAGTAACTCGATTATGAGCACTTGATGAAGATACGGTTTGCTGCAGCTGAACAGGCACTGTAAGCATCGACCTTACGTCGTTAGCTGGCGGCTATGTCAGTACGTCTGCTGGCAAACATGCGAGAGCCTGCGTCCACATACTGAGAGAAGAGAGGCTGTGTGCTGTGCCCACTGACATGAGGGGCAGCACCATTTAATGGGAAGCCCCACGTTGACACAGCAGTCCCCCATGCCTCTGTGCAAACCTGTTCATGTGGGTCACTGTCAGTCCGAATGTATTTCATAAATGCAGTCCTTCTACCTTGCAACAACTTGTCTTTGATTTCAGATCAGATATGGTAAAAAAAAAAAAAAATGTATCTGCTCAAATACAGTGAGCACCCAGCTCATTTTTTAATATGAACACAAACTAGGAATGGCATGAATATTTTCTCTTGTCACAAGCTTTTTCTGTCTTTGTCTCACTGCTCAGAATAAGAGCTGCTGTACAACAACATTAACTCTCACTGAATAACATGGACTGCTGCATAGGAAACGCCTGACAAGTGTCTGTAAATGATGACTGTGAATGGAAAGCGGATAATTCACATTCAAAGGTTTTAAATGTTCGTAGCATACTAGTATGACAGTAGATACAGCATCAGGTTTTGTGGTCAAGTGAATTGATGCAGCTTTTTCTGTAAGGTATGGAAAGACTGGTTGAGGTGTTCCATCATTTCAGTATAAACTGATTCTGTTTCCCCTTTCAGGCAGTAAAAAAGTAAACATCAGTGAGGAGGAGGGGGAGAAGAATACACATCTGTCTGATACTGTTGGTATGTCGCACCCCCCCAACAGTAATGGTAACAGACACACAAGTAATACAAATGTGAAGCAGAAGTCAACACAAAAGCTGTACGCGACTGTTCCAAAAGTGAGCAGCAAAGGATTGGACCATAAGAAGAATATGGACCTTAAAAATGACAAGGATAAGACCCTGGATTTGAATCACCATGAGGGCCAACCTTTGGATAAGAAAGACTCTATGTTGCTTCAAAATGGCGTTGTAAACTGTGGCTTAATTACAAATGGCTATTCTAGCAAGGACAATGATGGCAGCGGCTCCGAAGGTGGATATACTACTCCGAAAAAACGCAAGGCCAGATGTAACAACGGCAAGAACACTGATAATGTGATAAGAGAAAAGGAGAAAGACATGCAGCAGGGCAGCACTACACAGGAGCATGGGGCTTTTAATCTTGAGACGACTGAGAAGGGAGTAACTTCTAGACTCGATGGCTTTAGAGCCGCCCATAAAGTAGAAGCTCAGTCAGCAGCTAGACGGGCTGTTGCGTCAGAGGCTTCAGTGGGTGAATCTCAGAGGAAAAACTCTGATGGCAAAATAGTTGGCACCTTTGGTAAAAAGACTGAGGAAAGGCACAAAGCCAAGCTTTCCTCACCTTCAAAGGAGGACTCATGGACTCTGTTCAAGCCCCCTCCAGTATTTCCTGTGGACAATAGCAGTGCTAAAATTGTTCCCAAGATCAGTTATGCAAGTAAAGTAAAAGAAAACCTCAACAAAGTAGCTCAAGGTGGAGGAGAGGCACTGCCTCCTACTGTTAGACTATCACAGGTCCCTATGTCTGCTATGAAAACTATCACCTCAGCTAGCTTTACTAATGGTCCTGTTTCTGGGAATGGAAACAGCTGCCCAGTGGGTACCTTCTTCGCTCCTGCTGCTAGTAGTATTCCACCAGCCCCATCTATCCCAAGTGGCGAGAATGTAGCATCCCCTTTGGAAAGTAACTGTAGCTCTACAACTAGTCCTGTAGATGGAGAAGCATATGATCTTAGAAAGTGTACTCTTTTAATTTACCCTTTAAATATGCAACCTGTGCTCCCCAGTGCTCGGCACCTTGACCCACCGGCTGCTCAGACAAATCAGAAAGCCTTGGGAGATATCTTCCAGAATCAGTGGGGTCTTTCCTTCATCAACGAGCCCAACTTGGGGCCAGAAGGAGGAAGTGGCCAGGTGCCTGAGGAGGACAAGACTACTGTGGTCACACCTCAAAGCGAGTGTCACGCTGTTGCAGCCAAAGCTGCCCAGCCCTGCTTTGATGTTAGCCCATCATTCTTAGAGCCTGGCACTTTGGCTCAAGACCCTGAGAAAAGGACTTGTGCCCCTTGCAGTGTGTCTAATGTTTGCTCTCCTGCTTGTGTGAGTGAGGAGAACAAGCTGGAGCCATGTGGACCGGAAAAGACAAAAGCTGAGGGCAAGGGTGCAGGTTCTGCTGCGTCGGCCCCCAGTAAAGACAACGGTGCTAAGCCTGCACAGGGCCAGCTAACCACTTTGTTGTTTGGTTCATCTAAAGAACAGACCCACTCTAAAGACATTGGCAGAAGGTGTAGCTGGGGGTCCTTTGACATTAAAGCTGCTGTCACTTATCACACTAAAGGTAACTTTTACTATTTATCAAATTAATTTGTTTAATCGTTTTAATCTGTAATCCTTAAGAATTAGATTGGTGGTAACAACAGTTGTGGTTAATATTATGACAAACGCGTCATGTCAGAAATACAACAGAAGCTTACTAGTGCTGCACAATTCATCTAAATATGATTGAAATTGCAATATGCAAACATACCATATTGCAAAGAAAACAGGTAATGTGTGTGACAAAACGGCATTACAATGAAGTACTGTAGTTCTGAATAGATGCTCTGGCCTACAAATCTTGTTTTCTAGATATAACAAACCTATGTTTGTTTGGTACAGACCCCAAAAATATTCAGTGACAATGTATTGTGCATTTGTGATGCAAATTGATCAGTCCCACACTAATCGTGCATCAAACTAATAGTGATATCTGTCAAAATCATCACAATAAGATGTTTTTAGCATTGTGTTAGTAGAGTAGTCAGTCAATAATCATTGCAGCTGCAATCTGATTCCATGCTGTGCAAGCAGTTTGCCACATGACAGCAGGGCACTGTAACAGGAGTTGGTGGCCTTGCTGAGAGTTAGGTGGTGTGCAGCCTGTTGCCTGCATTCTTCATCTAACAGCTCATCGTGGCTGCTCTGTTCAGTTATTGCCTTGCAAAATTTTTGAAATGATCTGCTGATGAAAACTTTAAAAAATGACTGCTTCATAGTAAGAACCACCTCCTGTTTCACCAGTTGAATGCTTTTTAATGTGAAGCATTAGGAAATGTTCGGTTTGCATTAGCAGCAACTTGACACAGCTCTGGTTTGACTGGGAGAGAGGAAAGTAAACAGTGAGGCTGATGAGATCAATTACAAACCCTAGCGCTGGATTACATCCTCCATCATTTCCTGTGAATCCCTCCTCCTGTCAATTTTGAATCCACTTTAGTAATGGAGGAGTCTGACATTAACAATTTAAACTAACTGATATATAATAAGTACACGATGTAAATGCATTGAAAGGCTATTGCAGTAGGATCAAAAATGGGATTTTGCTTTATGAAAATCTTAAGTATTGCAATGTATTTTTAAGTGTCTTTATACTGTGTATTTTTTGAAGAGATCAGTATTTTATTTACTGAAAAAATTGTTGATCACTTAGTGCAGATGCTGAAAAAATGTGTTTTTTCTTTCAACAGAAATGGAATTCATTTTCAACTTGCAAAAACAAGGTAAACTAAACTTGGTTGTCTCACTTTTTCCTAACCCCCTAGTTGTGGAAGTTTTAGCTCAGTTTTCTCAACAAGAATTAGATCGAGAAATGTGAAAACATGAAAGTGAGGAAAATGGTCCACACAACTGGGAGGCCAGGCAGGAAGTTACTTATATTCATAAATGTGCAGAACAAAGTGCATTGGTGTTTTGGTTGGGATGGGATATAAATACCCATCTGGGTTCAGAGAATTTAATGTGGCTACAATCAAATTATTAGTGTGCATGTGCATCCATTGACTGACCTTTTTAGTTCACAAATACTGGTGACCTGCTTAGAAAGATCCTGAAACTTGTTAAGCTAACTTATTGTTATAAATCACTTTAAGGACCTGCACAAATACATATTTGATCTCGTTGGGCCGTACGGCAGCGTGTGCACAAAGGCTGCATTGATGTGTTCAACATCGTGCCTCTCAAGGACAGATATATAGGCTGTATATCATGGATTAACATAACAGTAAATCGTTGAATGAGAAAAGGTCACATTTGTTTTATTACTAAACAGAAGAAACATAAGCAACCCAAGGTAATCACCAACAGAGACACTGTTAAAATTACTGAGTGTGACATGCTGCTGGTGTATGGTCCTCTGGTACTGCAGTGTTGCCAGCTGGCAAATGAAATGCAGCAATTATTCCAAACAGTCTGGCGATATCAGCACAGGCTTGAGTTGAGGCTATGTTAGCTAACATCCCACTTCTAGCTAGAATGGAATACGCCATTATTACTATGGCTGGGTAGTTCAGTTTGTATGCCAATACCAAAATGGTACTTTTAATACTAGGGAAATATAAACAAAACCTGTTTTTCATTAATGAAAGAAGCCAGCGTTCCCAAATGCTGAGTGAAATGCATTTCAAGATGCCTTAGCCTTTTATTATCTATTGCTTGTGTTCTTTGAGACAGACCTGTTGAATCATCTAACCCTTTGCCTCCTTTCTCTCCCCCCCCCATCCCTCTGTGTAGATCCAAAAAGAGTAGTGGTTTATGATGAGACCAAGGATGGACCTGATCAGTGAGGTAGATCGTCTACAGTACTTACTACTTCTCTTCTGGGTGCTGCAGTTATCTACCTTGGAAATCATAAATCTTGTCGGACAGATAAAGTGACAACTGTGAAAACATTGATAGTATAGCATGACAGATTTTCCTTGGAACTTCGGGTGGAATAACAGACTTCTTTGGGGGCATCAGACAAACGTGCACACACTCTGGAGGGACGTTAAAAGGAGTTGATCTGTGCCTCTCCAACATGATAAAAAATGAACACTTGCAACTCTGGAGCTGTGAAAGTCGTTTGTCTCGTGGCTCTTTAGGATGATGTTCGGGAGTTCAACAAAGGAAGGTGTCATGGATTGCACCTCCCTAAGCCTTTATCCTGTTGAACTGCGGCAGCCGTCAGTCTGACTATGGGATGCCTCAGTCATTTTCTTTCTTCACGCATTCAAATGAGTTCATTGTAGATATGTTAGACGTTATACATACACATCTGTGTGCAAGCTTGAATTAATCGTGGAAGAAAGGAAAACAGACTTTGCAAAGAATGCCTTGAAGGTGTGGAATAAAGATCTTCGGAGTCCTGTTAAACTGTAAGTTAAGTGGAAGCTCGTAGGTGAGGCCCCATCCAGGAAGGGAGAACCTTGTCTTAAATCCTTTTTTTAGGGGAAATCAGAGCCCAGAAATTAAATGCTTGCTTTTTTCCCCTTTTTATACTGTTTTGTTTGACCTAACATGAGTGTTATCCGCACTGCAGCGTGACCCCAGAGCACAGGTACAGAAGTGCCCCATCTGAAGGAAAGCTAAGCCCCTTCATTTCATTGTTTTATTACAGGCGTGCTAAAGATTTTAAAATCAGGTCTCCGTTAAAGGCAAACCCTTTTAATCCTTTAGCTTTTCATACATTTCATGCAGATTGCTATGAGGTCAGTGCAGTCTATTCTTAAATTCAGATTCATACACTTTTTAATACATGAAGCCCGAGTTTAGGAGTTAACTGAGTAAGCAAGAGACATTGCTACCAATAAGGTCTTCTGCGTTTTATGCTATTTGTTCAGCAGCAAGACTCAGGATGTCCATGCAGATTATTTTGCCTGCATTTCTGTCTGTGTAAAAACTGTTCAATTCCTCTTGTCAAAGGAACACGTGTTGCATTATACGACTTTTAGATTTTTGTTGTTTTCTGACTCAGCATTGGGTCTTTTACTTTTCTGTCTTATGGCATTGTATTTCCTGCATGTTTACTGGTGGGAATGAACGAGTCAGACGTCACTCTTCATCACCACACAAAGATAACAGTAATACAACAACAATTGCAATACTAATCTAGGTTTCCCCCGACTAGCCACTTTGTCAAACTGTTTAAATGTGAAGATGAGTTGTACTATTATGTTTTACTGTGGATAACATATTTCATTTGCAAACCAGTGTGCAATAACACCGTGTGATCCATGCAGTGTGTGAAATGGGTTATATGGAGCTACAAAATAATCACCCAAGATGCTGGTGTGGCCTGCAGTTCATTTAAGTTTGTTCAAAAAAAGTTTAAGGTGCGTTTTCAGTTTATTGCACAAATCCTTTACGTGATATAAATATATATATATATTATTTTTTTTTTTTTTTGCAAAAGAGCTCATGTTGAAAGATCTAATTAAGTCTAGGGAGCCCAAATTTGCTAACTGCTAACTGGCCAGCTGTGACATCACTTTCATCACCATCTCCAAATCAGGATTGGTTTATTCAACATAACGAAGGAACCGTCCAGGTTTCTTTTCTCTAGAAGATATGATTTGGTTAATGTGTGGATTAATAGCACTTTATGTAAACTAATTGCTTTTATCTTTTAATTACTAGAGAGGTCTATATGTACTGACAAGAAGTACTCCTTGAAAGAATGGCTCTGGGCTGTTACTTTTCAGAAAAAAAAACAAGTTGATAAATACAGAATTATTAAATGTAACTCAGGTAGTGTTGATAAAGCCATGACTATGTTAAATATTGTTTTTTGCCAAATGGCCCCTGTCATGTAATGTTCTCAAATTGGAAATGTTGAATTGGAGTCCTATTATATAGAGTCTCATATGATGTTGTGACAAAACACCAAATAATTACTTGTGAGGAAAACTGTGATGGCATGCAAGGTGCTGTCATTGATCATTTTGGGCTCTAAAAAAACAAGTTTTACTGTTGATTTCCCCATTTTCTTAAAAAAAAAAAAAAAAAGCACATTGCTCCATGCTCCGTTTTCTATGGATACTAGACTGTAATTTCTTGCAATTTTTGATGGTTGATTTTCTCCCTCACATGTTCATAGTGAAGCACCTCTTGATTTATTATTGCTGAACATCAGTGGTGTTTCTGTTGGGTCTCTACAATCTGGGTATGAGCTTTCAAGTACACTTCTTTCCACAGTGTCCTGATTAGGCAGCGCTGCAGCTTGCACTCGTGTGCAGAGAGGGAAAGTCATAACTGCAACCAGTTGTCTTGACATTCAACTTCCACGTCTAATCTCAGTCAGCTCTCTGGTATTTAAAACGCTTTTGTTTTGGCTTCCATTGTACAGTGTGTGTGATGGATGAGTGTATTATCAAATGCTGCCCTCTGAATAAGAACAACTGTGTGGGATCTGGTCGATGAGGAAGCATGGGTATTTGAGGAGATATTGACCATTAGCGTTTAGAGTTTTTCTGTGCTTGTGGAAATTGACATTGCATTTGTCATAAAGTTGCACAAAACTCGCAGTTTAATTTCTTCTAATTGCCCATAATCTATAGATAGAAGTGACATAATCAGGTTCCCATATGGTAAATGCCAAATTGTTCAGGCTGAAAGCATTATCTAAATGTAAAACAGGGTGATCAAAATGAGTAGTATGTGATGTTACTGTAGTCTTATGACCTTTTTTAAAAAATATTATTTGTCTTGTTTTTAGACAGGATGGTCCTGTACAGGGAAATCAAATAATCTCCCATCCTCCCACCCCCAGTAGCTCCTCTTTTTCAAGCACTTAATATAGCAAAAAAAGGCTATGGTGAATATGCATTTATACAGATAGAACTATTATTTAGCATTGTAGCCTGCAAACCAAAAACCGGTTCTTGAAGCTGAGTAGATGGTTAATCAGTGATTGAGTGAAAGGGGGTTGGGAGGGGGGAGGTTGAGTGACTGACTGTAGGTGTGTTGAGACAGAAAAGCCTGATCATGTGGAGTTAATATTTCCACCCACTCAGGATGTGCAATCACCTCAAGGATGCTGATGCAGGCTTCCAGGTTTGCGAGGGACGAGTTTGGCCTCGTCGTTTTTTGTGGGTGTGTGCATAGCGAGTTCTTCCTATTATATGCAAGTTCCTTCTTATATTTCAACCCCCCACCCCCTCCCACTGTTGTTTCATGTTCAGGTGCCTGTGTGAAAAAAAACAAAAAACTTTTACAGCAATTTTGATTGTTTAAAATCTGCTTCCAGCATATATCCGTGCCATTTTTATTTTCTTAGTTTTTTGTAACATTTGCAACGCTGTTAAAGTTGTCTTACAGCTAATCCTAATTTTCTTCTTTTTAAGCGACATGGACGCAGCTGAAAGCGATGAGCGTTTTTCTGTGTTTTTGTAGGGTTAGCTAAAGCCAAAATCAGTTTGAATGGGACGGATGACAGCCGCTTGCTGGTGTATACTCACGGCAGTCCATTGTCAAGTTAATGTCTGAAGTAGCACATAATTGAGTTGAACTGATTTAACAAATTGATGTTTTAACATGTTTTTATTTTATTTTTTTGAGTTATAACCTAATTTATCCATAGATGCACAAGTAGGATGAGACTAAAAGGAATAAATGATAAAGAAAATCAAGATGTTTCATTGTTGACGAGTTTTAGGTGATTTAGTTACTGATTAAGGCTGATGTAGAGCTATTTTTTTTCTCCCCCAATAGCACCAATGTTAATATATTTCAAGTCTTTTCCAGCAGATTTTATACAAATTACTTTTAATTCATTTCTTCAAATAGTTGTTGATGGAGTGACGAGCATTGAAACACACTGCATCCCAGAGTTCCTCTTAATATATTTTTATCTGTAGTGATGTCGATCGTGTCGCAAGGGGGGGAGTGAGGTATTAACGTGCAGTTCAACAACTCTGAATCTGCTTTCGCCAAAGGTACACTACTCAGATATTCAGCTACTGAATGGCAAACGCACAGACCGGGAGGGGGTGGGGGGGGGACGTTGTTGATGTCATAACCAGCTTCCTGACATCGCGCTGGGTTTGGAGGAGCTTTTAGTGAAGAGAAGTCACTACTGTAGCAGCTGAATGTCACTTTGAGCGTGTTATTACGCGGTGTGAGAGGAGAAATCTTCAAAAAAAAAAAGGAAAAAAGAAAACAAATACCGAAAGTGCTGCTTCTTCATCCAGTAATCAATCGTCTGTAATGGGAAATGCTGGACTTGGTGTTTGTGCTTGACTTAAAAACTGTCCCTCCTTCAAACTGTCATTGCCTCTCGTGGAACTGTTTTAATTTAGGGGGCTTTTTTTTCTGTTTTATTCAGTGACACCTGAGTGGTACGGTGTTTATGATTCCACACACAGGGAGGAAAGTAAACAAGGGCAACGTGTCTTTACGGGACTGAGTCATGAAAAGAGGCGATATGTTGTGCCGAGTCATCTTTTTGTTATGTTTCTCTGTGTCATCTCAAATGGCTGTTGTGCTTGTTGATGCTTTTTTTTTTTTTGTGGTCTGCTCCTCCTTTTTATCACTTTTTACATCTCTTGCCCCCCCTAAAATATGAGGCAATAGCATTTCTTTCTCAAATGTCTTACAGGTTGACATTTAAGTTTTTAAGTGAGCAGTCTTGATTTGATTATTTAATTTTTTGTTTTGAATTTAACAGAAGTGTCACATTACAATGTTCTTTTTTAAAAGCATGATAATAACCCTCAAATTCCAAACAATGTAATAGAGTCAATAAAAAAAAAAAAAACTCCAGTGTTCACAATTTTAGTTTCCATTAAAATGTCAAATTTTCATGAAGAATTCTGTGTTTAGTTTGTGGTGTTATTTCTCTGATCACAGCCAACTGTTAACGGTGGTCAGTCTGAATCTGTTCACACATTGAAAACCGATCACATGCATGACCACAAATAAGTTAGAAATCTTAAATAAACTCTTGTCTCTCTTCAAGACCAGGCCTGAACATCAGGTACTATAGCAGGACACCAAGGCCTGTATCCTGTCAGTGATACTGTGCATGGAAGTACTGCACAATCATGAGGTGTTTCTACTTTACTTGAGTTTTGCTACTCAACTCAAGGTAAATCTTGTACTTTTTACTAAATGTATTAGTTCACTAATTAAGATTTGTCATGATCACGTTTTAAATTTTGATCCACTTGTTCCCTGCAGAAATCTTCTTATGAAGTCATTTTACTCCTTAATTGAGCTCTATTTCCTTACTTTCTCTGCCTGTTTTTGATGCATATCAGTTTTAAGAACTTTCTAAAATCAAGTTTTACTTTCTGAATGGTTGTGTAGTGATACAAGTTCTTTGACAGTTTAATTTGAATTAACATCAGCTTGACAGTGAATTGTCCAGTGTGTAGGATTTAGTGGCATCTAGCACTGTAGTTTCAGATTACCACCCCTCACCTCACACTCTCACTCCCAAGTTTGTAGGAGAAACTACAGTGGCTGTATCTAGAGCCAGTGTATAGTTTTTCCATTTTGGGTTACTGTAGAAACATGGCAGTTCAAAATAGTGGCCTCCATAGAAGAGGATCTGTTCCCTCTGTATATATAAAAGGCTCATTCTAAGGGAACGAAAAGAAAACACGATTCTTATTTTCAAATGATTATACTCTAATGAAAACAGAATACAATTCTTCCATTTCTGTCACTAGATCCTCCTAAATGCTACACACTGGACCTCTAACACATGAAGTCAGTACTTTTACTTATGTACAATTTTTAATACATCACTTATACTTATAGAGTATTTTAATATAGTTGTGGCATAAATTTTACTTAAGGAATTTGTTTTTAGTGGTGTATAATCCAAAATAGATTTCCAAATAAATTATAATAAGTCTAGTCTAATATAAACTAATAGATTTATAAATGAGCACATAGCAGTTGACACACAGAAGAGTCTGGAGGTTCATGGACCCCTGGAGTTCTGGGGTCCTGGGACAGCTGCCTGCTTTGCCCAATTTATAATTCAGCCCTCAGTATTTATGATTTATGTATTTATTGATTGTGGATATGTATCAGTGGAATATAATGCACGAAAAGAAGAGCTCATGTTGCCTATTGATTTATTTAATGTCTTAATATTATTTTTGTTTGGCTGGAAATGTCGTCTCGAGAGACAAAATGTCCAACATATAAACCCTTTTGACAAATGATACCAACAGCAGGGAGACGGATCATTTGTTGAGTCTGATGGAGTAAAACGTTTCAGTAATTTGGGCGGTGCTGAGATTTATTTGATTTGTCATTTCCTGATAATCTAGAATAACCGGCCTACAGCAAAATCTCAATCAAATCAGATTTAGCCATCAAATGCATCTCTCTGGCTTTTTATTCATTTCTTTTTGCAGAATATTCAAAAGACAGACTTAACAAATCTTTCTGGTTACCAACACCAACAAAACGTGCTTGTAGTGTATGTATGTATGACAGTGTATGTGTGTCAGTGATAGTGTTCACAGTCACTCTGTGTTCAGACTGGCTGCTGGAGCAAACACAGCAGCATTCATGGAAGCCATGTGGCTGAATGGAGATCAGCTGGATCTAAAGGCCTTGGGGAGCTGCTGTACTGTCAGTGAGCAGAGGTGCTGATTGTTGTTCAAAGACGCCCCCTTGTGGATGAAAGGTTAATACACATTGACTGAGTCACTCCAGAGGTAAAGAGATGCTGGTTTTATCCCCTTCTCTTCTGTAGATTTGGTAAATAAATCCCAGTAGGAATAAATGTATTTAGTTTTAACTTTGACCTGTAACATGTAGATATTTTAAATACATTTGTAATTTCTTAATGGATTATAGTCTGATTAATATTTGTTTTATTGCTACATTCTGTTCAGGGACTGTATTGTGTTAATATTCCTGAATGAATTCAAATATCATCACCTGTTTCATTCACTTTGACACTACACTGTCATATAATGTGATGCACTTAAAATCATTTTATTCACCCTGCATGAAGTGTGTGTGTGTGTGTGTGTGTGTGTGTGTGTGTGTGTGTGTGTGTGTGTGTGTGTGTGTGTGTGTGTGTGTGTGTGTGTGTGTGTGTGAGAGAGTGTGTGAGTGTGTGTGTGTGTGTGTGGAGAGAGAGAGAGAGAGAGAGAGAGAGAGAGAGAGAGAATCTCACAGGTATGTGATTACTGGGGAGACTGCAGGAGCTGTTGACACTGCAGGTGGCGTATTTTCACCACAAACACACACATTTTTTTCCCCTCTCGGTCCATGGAATTGAACCGGTGTTTACCGCCACCCCATCAATTTTACCTTGATTACTCTGTACTTCATGGAGGCCACATGGGGCTTGATGGGTAGTGCACTGGTGCTCAGAGAGATTGTCTGACGTGCTGGAAGGTCACTAAAAGGTTTGATCCTTTGTTTCAACAGCTCATCTCTGCTGAGGTGTTTTTGAACAACACACTGAACTTCTCACGCCAGGATTGCTGCAAAAAGGATGAGCACTGGGTGACTCTTTTGGCAAAGAAAGAGAAAGAAAATGTCCTTACAGAGGTAATTTAATATACATATGTATTGTAGAGGTATGTTGCCCTGTATCTGTTGAATGTGTCTGCTGCTGCAAGCTCAGGCAAATTAAAAACATAAACTCATTATATGTGCTACCAGTAGTCAAATGTATACCATGCAGAATATACCTTATTCCACTATTTAATCAATTTAGCTTTGACAGGTTTATTTCAATTCATTCCCCTGAGCCTTAAAAGTGGATATTTATACATGTCTCAATTCATCTCAAATAATATTTATGTTGCTTGGAGGTCTGTAAATGAATCTCGAGCTATGACATAAATCCATTACTGAGACACTTGCTGACTAGTCATCAGTGGTGGAAGGTTCATATCTTCTAACGTAAAAATACTCTCCTACAAGTAAAGTCTGCATTTAAAACCTTTCATAGGGAAAGGTACGTAACTATTAACACCAATATGCAATGAGAGTGTCAAGTATTTGCAGAAAAAATGCTCCTCTGAGTGTACACAAGTTTGTATTTTTTCCTCTAACTTTTCACTATTAATAATCCTCTTTAATAATTTGACCTCTTTGAGCATCAATTTAAATGAAATCACTAACAGCTCATAGACAAGAAGCCAGAATTTGACAGTGTTTTTCTGTAAGAGGTCACAAGCCAAAAAGGTTGTATACTGGTTTAAACTTTAACATGGCATTTTATTTTAAGTAACCAGCAACTATAGCTGTCAGAATACAAGTATAAAGTAGTGTCAAACTGAAATACTCAAGTAACTCAAAACTGTAGTTCAGTGCAATGGTTGAGTAAATGTACTTGGTTGCTTTTCACCACTAGTAGTCATGCTACCATCACAGAGAAAACTGAAGCAACTTACACAATTAAATAGTAAAGGCTTCACAACAGAGGAGAAATGTTCTATTTTAAAGTAATCAAGTGAAAATAAAGCGTAATAAATGTTTAAAGTGAAGTAAGAACACAACAGTAAAAATCAAATGTTTACATCAAATAAAGTCTATTAGCTCTAACTACATTTTGGCCCACAGGATGAGGGATTTCATTTAGAAAGCACATTTGCATTATTTGTACGACATTGGTCAATAATCCGTGGTCTTACTCCTCTGTTGCTTTTAGCTTGGTTTTGTAAGACACAGCTGACAGAAACGTGATATATGACATTTCTCAGTTGTACAGGTCAAGAAGTGCTTTATGGAACAGTTTTTCTATTGAAAGGCCTCACACATTTTGATGAGCCCTTACACGCTGTTCATTCTTGACAGGGACAGAAACCAGGAGCAGTGTATCATCCGAGTGCATCTCGTGCTTTCTGGGATGAATATATCAGCTCTGAGCAGTCAGTCCCTGACATTTAGTGATCTGTGATGATCACCATAAACCTTACATCATCAAATGTCAGACTCAAGTACTTGCCAGAGTTTGCAACTGATCTGATGTACATCATGGTTCAAAGAACAAATACTGCAGACCCAGTCCCAATGTTCACCCGCAGCCTTAAAACACTGAACCCTTGCAGACTTTAATTAACATCAGCCGTGTGCTCAGCGGGAATGTGCAGGAAGGTACAAGGGCTCAAAAGGCTTTACTAGGAATTGGACAGCAGACTGTGAAATCATGGGCAGAGTAAAGTGCATGGCTCATAATTTTGTATTAAGAGCTCACGCTGTATATTTATATTGTAGAAACACACATTTTTCTATGATTTAATTTCGGCATGCTTTCTGGCTGTCCATAATGGCGTTGAGCCACATCGTGCAAATTATTTGAATCAAACCACCAACCACCAATCACCAAAGTGATTCTGATTAAAAACCAGATTAAAGTCTGTTTGGGGTTGCATCCTACGGAGAGAGCTACAGCCCACAAAGAGAGTTACCAAAGAAACTGCAAGATCTAATTGTTGAAAAAAATACGGAAGTCGAGAACAGCCAGGCTTCCAATATTTTTTTAATGCTATTTTTTCGAGATCAAGAGTTCATTTGTCTCGTTATTTCGATAAAACAAAACACAGATTTCTTAAGATATATTGAGATAATCTATCGCAAGAAAACAACTTTTATTTTCTCAAGATCATGGGATAATTATGGGGAACTCAAAAATGTGTGGTTCATTTGTACAAACCTGATTTCAGCCTTCAGTATCGCTGTGATGACTGACAAGAATTATTCATAACTGAACTGAAAAGAGTTCATTTTTGTCAGTATGAAAATCAATATACACTGGTATGTTGGAATGTCATTCCTCCATGCATTATCCATTATTTATTTATTATTCATTATTTATGTATTCTAGC